ATGTTCCCTCGCCCTGTGATATCTCAATCTCCTCTAAAGGCTGATGCAAGCCTTGGGGATCTTATTTACTGAATAGATCCTGAGGGTATTTTACTTTTAATTTATTATTTATTTCTTCATTGTCTATCTCCTCCCCTTATTAACTAAATAAGAGCAGGGAATTAGTCTATAACCTCAGGACCTAGAGAACAATCATCTTTTTGTCCATGGGCTCTACAGGTGTTGAACAAATATATTAATTAGTTAATAAGCCACTAATGAAACATAATGCAGTCTCTGCTTTCTTCTTAGAACTCACCCATTTCCCTCAGGAATGGAGTCTTTTTTCTAACTAAACAAATTTGGTTGCTCGTAGCTCTGCTTGGCTTCATTTTTTCTCTTCTGTGCTTTCCACCTTGTCCCCCTCCCTTCATGACGCTGCCCCACACAGAGTGGAACAGCTCTGCACCCGCGGCCCGCACTGCCACGGGCCCGGCACAAAATGTTCCTCCTGTGGAAGGCCTTGCTGGGATTCTCCAGTTTCTTTTCAGACTTTTTTTTTTTAATCTGAAATATCTCCTCACATGTAATATTTTTCCAACATCTGCATTTATCCTTGTTCATTCTAGATTTGACTTCACAGGTTCTTCCCATATTTGTATTTTTATGTTCTCACTTGGAAAATTAGTTTTCTGAGGAAAAAAAAATCACTTTCTTTTCCTTTCTATCTTTCCCCTCTAATCCCACTGCAGCAAATGGCTGCTCTCACGCTCCCTGGAGAAAACTTGTTGACTCACTTCTGGTGGACCTGGGCTGACTCCTTCCGTAACACAGTTAGAAGACACAGTTAAACCTGTGGCGCTGCCTGTTGTCTTCCTCGCGGACGTTACCATGGTGATGGGGCATCGCGTGGTCCTGGGATTAGTAACAGGATACAGAGCCTTTCCCCTATTTAAATCACAAGCTCAAATCTAATCTCGTTTGAAATTTGGGCTCCCGGGACATAACATACCGTAGGCTCCTCAGAGAACTGGGTTGGTCTGTGGAAAGATTTTTATTTTTTTTAAATGTCCTTTTAACTGCTAACAAGAAGAAACTTATCAAAGTTCTTAGCTCTTCTGTCCCTGTAGTGACAGCAGGACAGAAATGATGAGAAAACTCTCTCTGTGTGGAACATCTCCAAGCTGGCGCTGCTGTCTCTAGTCTTTTACTGAAAGCCTGGGATGAAGTGAAGATCTGTGTGCAGGGGACTAAGGTGTCAGACACACCATCAAAGGAGCATTACAGAAATGGACAGAAGAGGTGACAGGACGCAATGAGAACGACAAGAGGAAGGTGACATCTGTACCTCACATTTCACATGATGAAGACCAAAACCCTCCTGAGGGCCGACAACAGTGTACTGGAAATTATTTAATAAAGTTTTCACTCAGAAGTATGAGAAAAGACCCGATAACATTTTGACATTCTTTAAGACTTGTTGACAGGTGTGCCACTTAACAGTCTAGAGAAATTGGTTGACTCTCTTTTAAAATAATTTTACATTTAACATTCAGTCTTATGCTGGAGAAGCTTAGTAGTGAGATCATTTGTTCTCCTTAAGCAGCTGATTTAAAAAATAACTTGGGCAAATATATGGTACAATTAACCTTTAAATGAAGATTTAAAGCTCAGTTAGCCTTGCTCGGGTCGGGAAAACATTTGATGAAGTCTATGGATTCTCTCTCCAGATTTTGCATGAAATTTTAGGAAACTCATGGATCCTCAGAAGTTCTTTCATGTTCTGGTAAAGAACCACTCAATTAAGGATTTTCTATTACTAAATGGCAAATATATTCCGTGGACATCAATAATTATTAGTTTACTTTATAGAGAGGCTAAATTAAATCCTCAGTTTATATAGTTGGGACAAAGAAAGTTTGCTTGCTTTCTGTTAAGCATTGTGCAAAGCATTTGAGTACAGTAAGTACCTTGTTTTAAATCCTCACTCCAGCTCTATATTTTAGGCATTACAAATTCATCGCTCACAAGTAGAAACTGAAGCTTTAAGAGGTTAAAAGACCCATGCAATGTCACAGAGCTGATAAGTAGAGTCTGGACACAGCAGAGGCTGGCTCCACTTTGAAGGCCTTTTAGAAGTTATTAGGAAATATCTCATAGTCAGTTGCTTTGAAAAGAAAACACTTTGAGCTTGCTCTTAACAGCCAGCTCTTAATGACAATAACTTCCAAAAATAAAAAATAGCTTCCAGGGACACATAAATCCTTTTCTTTGTCTCCATGCAATAAGGCTTTACGTTGCGTAGGGTGGTCTGAGGTGAAAGCTTGCCTTCACCCTGTACTTTTTGTCTTGGAGTCTAAACATTTCTATCCAAAAGACAGTGTCAGCATACCAGGTGGTGCCTGAAAGAAGTGGTCAGGAGCTTGGTACCATGCTGCAAGGTCTGATGTAGGAGTGAACATGAGTCCCTGACAGCTTCTTGTATCAGATTGTCTAAACTGCCTGCAATCTATGATCCATGCTAACGCCTTGCTGTAAGGTATCAATACATTTGGGACACCCCTCAGAGCTTCCTTTGAAACATGGTAGCTCACACAGCATGGAACCAAGGCTCTTCTTTTCCCTGAACATGTTCACATGTAACTTTGGACCCCACGAACTGTTGAGTTGGCTTAATCCTTATTACATTCAAGACGGTCTGTTCCACCTCCCTTCACACTCTGTCTTGTCATATAACAAAACTGAAACCGTCTCCATTGGTCTTACACAGGGATGGATTTAAGAATATGTAGAATGGATGGTGACTTCCATGGTGCAAGCATGGGCTCTCTGTCCACAAATATCACATTGCCCCCGGCACCTGTTGCATCATCAGGAAGAGATCCTGTCCATTTGGGTTTATTGTTCCATATTCCAGCATTCCGTATATAATGCCAATACTATCATACCAGCCCTCAGTGTAGAGCCAGGATCTCTTGGAATAATTACTGGGGATGGGATGAAGCCAGGAATATAGCAAAAGGTCTAAGGCTGAGATCTAGTGGGAGATAATAAGAAAAAGACAATACAGTAGATATACTTGTTTACAGTCTTCTACAAGGTCAGCTCAAACATAAACCCTGATGTTCTGAAGGAGGTGAAGGATTTTGTTGCATGAAACAGGGGACACTTATTCCCTGAGGAATTTTTTTACCTCGAAACTGATGTAGTTCTTGAATTAAGCTCATCCACAGGAGGTCTGAGAGAGAATCATCAATATTTATCCTATCAGAGGAAGAGCAAGAGTTAAAGTTCATTTTCATTTTTTGGTAATGTTAAGAAAATACAGTTACTATATTCAAAACTATTCTAATTCTCATTCTTTCCTATACTTTCATTATTCTTTTATAATATAAAGAAGATATATATAATAATGTATATAATTTTAAAGACATGATGAAATCAATATACATAAAATTTTGTTATAACTTTGTTTTTTATTTGGTGGCTAAACAGTTCATTTTTTTTTTTTCTTTTGGACTCCTGTAGCATAAGGTGGCAAATCAGATAAAGGGTTTCAGAAATTTCAGAGAGAGGTATGACTCCTTATCAGAATTGAATTCCACCTTCCAGTTACAGGTAACTTTTACTTACAGAGAATAAGTTACAGCAATTCCCTCTTAGAGTTTTTTGCATTTTCTACTGGAAAGGAATCCTATGCATAATGGGGACTTATTGTTCCATCTTCCAGTGTTAGCTGGTTTAAATAACATCTTTTTTTGGTAACAGCAGAGTACATTCTGCTGATAAATTTAAAACACACACACACATGCACACATGCAAAAAATCCTAGTCCAGTAAACAAATGCTGCTTTTATGTTGCCTCAAGGAGATGTAACTCAACATTTTAGAAATATATAAAAGGCAAAATGTTCTCTCTAGACACTAAGCACAGTATCTGGCATGTGATAAGGAGTCAGTAAGGATTTGCTTAATGAATGACTAATAGAATGATCAAATATACACCAGTCTTTAAATTGGCCAAAGACTAGATTACCCTTGCATTTCCTCTATAGGTGATAGATGCATTTTTGCCAAACTCACTTTTAATTTTAAGGCTCTGCTGATTGATGTTTAATTTCTATGTAAATATACTCATATGAGAACCTGTTGTACTGGTTTTGCTGATCTCTAGTTTCATATCACAAAAGTAGAAATGTTTACTCCCTACTGTTGATTTCCAATTCAGACTCAACTAGACAGAAATGTAGGAGGATACATGTTAGCTTTTGAAAACTACACTCACAACCCTTTAGGAAGAAGCTTTAAGTTTATAAGTTCGTGGATGTCTAGGGGAATATAAACTTATAGAATAGAAAAGAGTGGAGCAAGAATGGCAACTTTTTAGTAGACATATCCTGATTGCAAGCTAGTGTGATAAAATGCTTTAAAAAAAGCCTTCTCCTTTGTTTATAAGGCTCCATCTAGGAATCTATTTTATAGAAACAATCAGAGACGTGAAAAAAATAATTTTATCTGAGAATGTTTATCTCAGCTCTATTTAAACTACCAACGCATTAGGAAAAACATCAAGGTCCAACAATAGGAAATTTGTATAAGACTTTATTGTATGCACAATCAATAACTATATAGTTATTACAATCCACATACTTGAAGAATATTTAATGTTGTGGGTAAGGTGTCAATTTAAGTATGATGTTTATTTGAGTAGATATGACCAGCCACTTTGAAGGGACTAAGATTGACATTTTCCTTCCACTTTACTACAGTATAAGTGACAATGAAAAACTGTCTGTATTTAAAGTGTACACCTTGATGATCTGCTATGTGTATGCACTGTGAAACGTTCACCACAATCAAGTGAAGTAAAGTACTCATCTCTTTACATGGTGACAGGTTTTGTTTTTGGTATAACCACTATGAAAAATCATATGAATATTCTTCAAAAATGTAAAACTAGAACTACCTTATGACCCACTTCTGGGCATTTGTCCAAAGAAATTGAAATCAGTATCTTGAAGAAATATCTGTACTTCCACGTCCCTTGCAGCATTATTCACAACAGCCACGCCATGGAAACCACATAAATGTCCCTCTAGAGATGAATAGATGAAGACAATGGGCCACGTATTTACAATGGACTATTATTCAGCCTTTAAAAAGAAGGAAATCTTGCCATGTGTGACAACACAGATGAACATGAAGGACCCCATGGTAAATTCAGTAAGACAGACTCAGAAAGACATATTGCAAGCTCTCGCTTATATGTGGAATCTAAAAACTACAGCTCTTAGAAACAAAGAGTAGACTGGTGATTGCCAGGGGCTGGGACAAGGGGAGATGTTGGCCAAGGGGTACAAAATTTCAGTTAACCAGGTTAAATAAATTTTGGAGATCTACTGTGCAACAATGTAACCATACTTGAAATTTGATAAGGGGTAGATCTTAAGTGTTTTCCCCACCATCCCCACCAAAAACAGAAGAGAACTGAAGCTGACTTTAGAGAGGCAAGTTGTGCAAAGCCCTCTCAGGAGAACTGACCTGGTATCTACTCTCTGGGCTGAGCAGGCCAGAAACGTTGGTAACCTCAGGAAGAGAAGAAACTGTGCCAATGTACAGGAAAGCCTGTAAAACCTGGTGGGGGGAGTTGCTTGGTTTGTGAAGGAGCAGAAATTGGAGAGATCTATCCATTTACCCGAATCATCCAAGCATAGGCCTCAAGACCCCAGTTGTCATATCTGTCTGCATGAGACCATTTTCTGCTAATTAGCGAGGTGTGGTTCTTGAGGAAGGTGAGGTCAGTTATAGGCAAGAAAGAAAGCTACTGCTGATTGAATTGAGGGTGAGTAGAAAAATGTTGTGACTATATTTAACTACACTAAAAAATTACATATCTCTGAACTAAAAAAATATTTTCTTATGCATATACATGTACACATAAAAATACACACATTCTCTCTAAAAGTATTTGTTCCTAGCATGGTGTATTTCATTCAAACAGCAAAAGTTCCTGTCTGATGCTCAAGTCAAATATTTTTCCATGTGAAACTAATTCAAACAATAATGCATCATTGCACTTTTTCATATGTTGTTTTGAGGTTATATACAGGACATTGGTTTCTTTCTGCTCAAGGCTGTTGAATGAAGCAGCTGAACCTTGGTTGAAATCCCTGGCCTCCCTGATTGGCAGTGTCTGACATGTTGCAAGTAGATGTTACCTGTTATTATTCTGTGATTCAACTCCGCTGAAAAGGGAAAGTCGGATTCTAGCACTCTTGGCAGTTTTAATGCCTGTTTAATGCCTGTTTCCTCACTCTTGAACAGGCCCTCTGACACCCATATTGTCTTCTTCTTATTTCCCCCTAGACAGTGGTTCTCAACCTTCCTAATGCCACCACCCTTTCCTCATGTTGTAGTGACCCCCAACCATAAAATTATTTTCGTTGCTACTTCATAACTATAAGTTTGCGACTGTTTTGAATCGTAATGTAAATATCTGATATGCAGGATGGTCTTAGGCGGCCCCTGTGAAAGGGTCGTTTGACCCCCCCAAGGGGTCGCGACCCACAGGTTGAGAACTGCTGCCCTAGAATCTCCTAACTTCAGAGTTAAAGACCATTAGGTGGCTCCACCTGTGACTTGCCCAACAAGGAGTGGGCCAGCCTCAGCTTGAACACTAAAGTGACAGGGAGATTACTACCTCTTCACACAGCCCTTCACCTTTGGGTGACTTTAAAAATTAGGAAAAACAGTGACATTGAATCCATCTCTTCCAAATATGATTTGATAGTTCTTGTTTTCTTTTCCAAGAGCCACACAGAGAAAGCGTTGTTCCTCTGCAACATGAGAGGCCTTTAAATATCCCAGGGAAGCTGTCAGGTCTCCACGGAGACTTCCCTCCTTTGATAATCACGCTCCCTACCACATGGTTTCACATTCTTCAGCCAGTCTCGACTGCATTACTGTGAACAAACTCGTTTCCCCATCTCTTTCTCAAAGTGGCTCTGGATGCAGCAAAACAGGTGCAGTCAGACCAACACAACTGTAAGAGGTGACCCCTCCCCCTCCCTCTCCGTAAACACTGTACATTTGCTAGTTTAGCCGAAGCTCAGATTGATTTGGGGGCTGTCATGTTCATACTCTTGATTTGGACCCTTGTTGCTCCAAAGTCTACAAGTCATGTTTTCCCCACATTGTTAACTGTGCAATTCAGCGCAGGCCTCTTTATTCCTATTACATGTCATCTTTATAACATTTGACATTAATTTCCATCTGCTAAGATCTAATGCGCATGCGCTCTCTCCAAGTATTGGGCTATTTGCTGACTTAATAAGCAGGCCATCTATACATCCTTATGTTTCACTGATAATGATAAATGTTGAACAAAAACTGGCACAGGACAGAGGTCTCTAGGCTGACACTGATCCATTATTTAGCACCCTCCGAAAAAAGCTGTTTATCTAGTTACAAATCCTCTCTAAGACAGCACCATCTAGTATTAATGTCTCCTTTTTGATAACAAGACCATCATCAAGAGATATTGTCAAATTCCTTGTTGAAATACAGATGCACAGTATTTAATCCATTCCTCTGCTCTACAAATCAAGAAGATGAAGGAGGGCCGGTGGCTGAGACCCAGTATGGAATACTTCCCACTCTCTGCTCTTCACTGGCTTAGTGTAACTATCTACAGTGCCACCTTACTAAAAGCTACCCTCTTGTCACTTGCCTTGGTGCCGCTGCCTGGCATCAGTTAGATGTTAGTTAGATCACTAGTGTGATGTC